TATATATATATATATATATATATATATATATATATATAAATTGTTCCATGTTCTGGTGAACTATATTCCTTTAAGAAATTGATATATATTATTCATAAAATTATTATTTGGTGGCAATATAATCTGTGTTTGCAGATTTTACTGCTGGACATGTGATTGTAACACTTTACAGTAAAGGCCTTGTGAAAGGCATTGCCTGCTTACAATACTACACCATCATGGAAGATATTGCCCACTTCCTTCAGCAGGCTGCAGATCCTGTGATGTTTATGTGCCAGGTAAGCACATGTCTGTTTAAGTTTTAACCCACATGCTCAAACAAATTGTCTTCAAATAAAATGTTTAGCTTCTGCCCTAAAATATGCAAACTTTTCAGCTTTTCAAATGTGAATTTGATGTAATCTTTAATTTCTGAAAAAAAACATTTAAGTGAATCAGCATTTATTAGGGTCTTAGGTGTCACACAAGGGACAGATGTGAATTATTTTAGATATCTAAATGGAAATCATAGTTATGCAAACAAATTACGACGCTGAAACTTGTTAGCTGTCTAGTGCTGTTTTTTCAGGCTTTAGTGTTGCTGCAGTCTTCCAATTGCCAATAAGGGGTTTTCTACAACAAATTAAAGGAAACATTTACTGTTGCTGGCAATGCTATGAGGCAAGCCTAAACTTTTATAGTCTTGCAAAGATTTATTGTGCCCCTAGTGACATGTAGGCCCATATGTATATTGTACAAATCAGGGGCATAGCCAGGATAATTTCATAGGGGTGGCCAGGTAAGGACCCGTAACCTGTCCGGAGTGTAAAATCACATTCCATTCCCCTCTGTTAAAATCCTCTGTTCCCTGGAGGCAGGGACTGTTTCGAGTAGGGGGTTGGGGTGGCCGCACACTTCAGTTCTGATGGCCACCCCCCAGCTCCACTCCTTGTGCAAGCTGTAAACAAATTGCTGAATGAGAGCTCTAAAGCTTCATTTATTTCATAGTCAAGATGTTACAGTAGTTTAATATCTAAGAAATATTGAACACCATTCATCATCAATTTTTTATTTTATTTTTTTTTAATTTTTATCAGTACTGGATTATATTCTCCACTAACCCCTTAAAGCCCTTTTCTTATGCGAGTACTTTTATGGTGTATTTAAGGGTACATTTCCATGACAATGATTGTACTAAAAAAAAAAAAATGATAATAATTTGCATTTTTTAAATGTTTTGTTTGCAGACAACAGCATTGTCAAAATGATGCCCATTCACACAGTTCTGTGGAAAATTATAATACTACTAATAAAAAAAATAATAAAATAAAAAAAAATTGTAATACACCTACATATGGAAATAAATATGACAAATGACTTTGAAAAAAAAAAAAAAAACATGTTGAATTGCACTAACTGAAAAAAAAAATTATAATTCATTGCATTAACATTGCTTGTCACAGCCAATATCACCCTGCAGCCCAAGACTGGTTGCCCACTGAATCTAAGCAGGGTTGAGCCTGGTCAGTACCTGGATGGGAGACCTCCTAGAAAAACTAGGCTGCTGTTGGAAGATGTGTTAGTGAGGCCAGCAGGGGGTGCTCAACCTGTAGTCTGTGTGGGTCCTAATGCCCCAGTATAGTGACGGGGACACTATACTGTCAAAAAGCATGGTCTTTCGGAATGAGACGTTAAACCGAGGTCCTGACTCTCTGTGGTCATTAAAAATCCCATGGCACTTCTCGTAAAGAGTAGGGGTGTTCATGTCCTGGCCTCAAATAAAGTAGCCCAATTCCACGGGAAAACCGCGGACTTGGCAACACTGTGACGGATATAGTAATGTCTACAACGGACACGACCGCTAACGCGGCGTGACCACAACAGCTTGAAGTTGTCTAATTTGGCCCCTGCACTAATAGTAAGGCTTTCCTCTGTGTATACATATCCTTTCAAGTGCAATTTTAGCTGGATTATTTGTGTCCCCTTCAAAAATTGCTCTTGAGAAATTTTTATGTTTATTTTTTAAATAAATAAACAAATAAGTAAATAAATAAACAACTGTTAACTCGAACAATACAAAATAATTATATTGTCATTTATGTAATCTATGGATAACTGAGCATTAAATTATTTAATGCATGCATCGTTAAGTATTCTTGTCATGATGGAGGCAAAGAGAGATCTAGCATTCTGCCGCTTTAAATGAGACACAGAGATGAAATAGGCTAGTGCGGTAAAATCACGTGTATTTGAATGCATAAATTATATTATTGATTTAAATTAATTAGAGAGAGAGAGAGAGAGAGAGAGATTAAAGTTGCATGTGTGAATTGCGTCTGTGCATCTCATTCTGCAAAAGTGAAGCATTTCGTTACTTCAAAACATAAATTTTAGCCCCTAGTTGCTGAGAAATATAATGTAGCGATTTAGTATCAAAGCTACTATATTAATAAAACTTGCGCGGCAGCATTGACCACAAGTGTTCATGTTCGTGAATATTTCCGTGTAGGCGATGGGCTCTGATTGTTTAGCTAGCCCAGTGTGTTGTGATTGGCTAAACCGCCTCTATTGCGAGTCTAAACGTCCCCTCCCTCTCCTCAGCAGCATGTGCTCCAGTTGTATTGTAAATAAAGGTGTCTTTAATATCGCTTATCAGTTTGAGCCCAATTGAGAAGCAGAGGATATTATTGAAGAGGATCGTGCAGAACCTGTGCAAGCATGGCTTTTAATGGTAGGCCTATGTTTTTTGTTTGTTGTTGTCTCATACTTTTAGATACGCTGTAATTTGTAAATGCTACTGCTTATGTTAGCTTTTAATATACAGTTTTATCCTGATTAAAGCTTTAATACAGTATGACAACTGCATGCCATGTTTAACGCTTCTCATAGCTATGTAAAAATAAGTGTATAATTGTAACACTTCATTGAAAGAGAGAGAGATGCAGAACATGTGCAGAGCAGGGGGACGCGAGGAACAGTATTAATAACCGCTGCTTTAGAACATTGATTTTGAAACTTGTGAATCCATTAGAATCATTAGACGACAGAATCGCGATTCATATATGAATTGATTTTTACGTGCACCTCTAGTTTTCTCTTCCTCTTCTCTAAAGCAACACAGCATGGCCTCGCCCCCTTTGCTGCCTTTTCCCGAGGGCGGGGTTCATCTGGGTTTGTGATGTCACGAACCCGGGAAGCAACTTGTTGTAGTCCCTACCAGCCGTTTTTGTAGGCATTAAACTGACATAATTTTAAAAGACGATATCTCCATTTGCATTTAACTTTTTAGCTTTGTAACTTTGCAGATATTGTTTATGCTCAAACAGCAACATTACACACTAACTAACGTTAAAAAAGTGAAATCGCAATGAGCCACCCCTTTAAATTTGACTGAAATGCGTTGTTAAAGCACTGCAAATGTCTTGACCGGTGACATGATCAGGGATTGCCAGCTCTTCCTCTCACCCTTCCCTGTCCACCTTCATCTTCCAAATTAGGTTAGACTCCCACTGCTGCACAGAAAGCTGGAATCTGGGTTCTTATGAAGTTGTGGTGTGAACAAGAAAGGGTCTGAGATCATTTAAGTACAGACAAGGATCAAGAAATGAACCGGGTTCTCTTTTGAATCCACTATATTGTAAACACCAAAAGGTCTTATTCTCATTAATTGTTAATATTAAGATAATAATATTATTAAATACTTGGGTGTAATTATTTCTTCAAATCTTTCAGAAATTGTTCATTTAAAATTTTCTCCGATATTAAGAAAAATTTGTAATGATTAAAAAATATTGGAATACTTTGCCTCTTTCCTTAATAGGGCAAATAGTAACTGCCAAAATGAAAATGCTCCCTCAGATTAATTATTTATTTTCAATGATTCAATTTGAGCCATCTTTTTAATGGTTCACTATCACTAAATTAAATTATATCTGGTTATTGGAAAAATATTGGAAAAATAAGATTATTGGAAAAATAAGAATTAGAATAAGAAGTTAGAATTTGTCTGTCGACTTTACAAAAAAATAACAACTTTACATTTTTTTATGTATTATATTGCAAATCAGTTACAATTTCTTATTAAGTGGATACACATTAAAGGGCACCTATTATGCCACTTTTTACAAGATGTAATATGAATGAATGATGCATTTATGTAGTGCTTTATTGTACACCCAAAGCACTTTACAATCATGAGGGGGTCTCACCTCAACCACCACCAGTGTGCAAGCATCCACTTGGATGATGCTACGGCAGCCACAGGACAACGGCACCAGTGCGCTCACCACACACCAGCTACAGGTGGAGAGTAGAGAGAGACATAGAACCAATCAAGTGGATGGGGATTATTTGGAGGCCATGACTGACAAAGGCCAGGGGGGCAATTTGGCCAGGACACACCCCTACTTTTTACGAGAAGTGTCATGGGATTTTTAATGACCACAGAGAGTCAGGACCTCGGTTTAACATCTCATCCGAAAGAAGTTGCTTTTTGACAGTATAGTGTCCCCGTCACTATACTGGGGCATTAGGACCCAAACAGTCCACAGGGTGAGCACCCCCTGCTGGTCTCACTAACATCTCTTCCAGCAGCAACCTAGTTTTCCCAGGAGGTCTCCCATCCAGGTACTGACCAGGCTCAACCCTGCTTAGCTTCAGTCGGCAACCAGTCTTGGGCTGCAGGGTGATATGGCTGTGGCTTATATTGGTCGTGGGTGTCTCCAGAAAGTGTCTGTCAAGTTTCAGTCCAAAATACCCAACAGATCATTTATTATAACAGCTGGAAAATGTCATTTTTGGGGTGTGTCTAAAAAAAGAGCTGTTTTGGAGTGTATCGCTTTAAATGCAAATGCAAATGAGCTGCATATTCCCACCCCGTCGCGTATACATCTCTCTGCATTGCATATCTACAGCATTAAACAGCCGGTAGAGGCAACATAACAGAGCGAAAGAACCGGTGTTTAGCCGTACATATGGGAAGCCAAATGCACTGAAAGTGGGACGAAACAGCATAATGTTTCAGAGCTTTGCATCACGAAAGCTTGACACTATTCCTAAATGAGAATTTATTCATTATTTACATATAAAGGAGGTAATCAGGAATAAACAGTAAAAACTATTTGGGGCAGCAACACTGGAAAACAAAGCAATCTTTATATATTATAAAGGTAGTGCTTCACGTGACTCAGTGGACTAACACAATAATTAAAAGATTAAAAATTAAAAGACCAAACTCAAAATACACCTTATTGATGATGCAAACTATGTACAGGCAAGTGGGCCCAGAATAAGAATGAAA